GAGAGATGGACAGCTAGCTAGCACAATAAAAAACAGAAAACGGTGATGGCTATCACACTTAGAAGGACACCACAAGGGAGCCTCACTTTAGTGCATCTTGCTCACTTAAGAGAAATTTGCTCCTCAGTGGTGCGACGGCTCCTGTATTCTAGATCTAGGGTTTCATTGTGTAATATTTTATGGGCTTTTGTTGTTTTATGGTTTGTATCTATGGGCTTGCTTTATTTTTTGGTGTTGGACTGCATTTGAATTGAGTTTTTTCTCATTCCCACTATTAATGAATAGAGTTTCCTTGACCCAAAAAATAAAGATCGCAGCAAGCTGAAAAGAACCTTGAAAACCACTGGGAAAAGAACCTGAAATTTACAAAATCAGTTGTGAACTTGTGATACCTTGTTGGCCTTACAGTTATACTGTGAAGTATACTGTCTCTGATCAGGAGGATACAAACACCCTGATGTAGCAACATCGGTATAAGCATGGGAGGGTCAATATTGCATGGTAGGTTTGATTGTTTAAAGAGGGTCAGTTTGGCTGTATTAAAGAAAAAAACTATACAATTTTTTTTCAGTTATTCCGTTCGCACTGGAAAGATTTAAACAAATAGGGAACAAACGTGTTTTGCTTGCACAAGGTTAAGTGTTTAGTTTACTTATTTTTGTTGCCAATGTCTTTTTGTAGCTTCTTCTCGCTTCCCACCAATTTAAGAGCATTTTCACCTATTTGTTATGGTAAATGGCAAGGAGAGGCAAGAGTTGTTACTATTAACATGAATAGTCCCAACCATTGCAAAAGGCAAGTTGTGTTTCCACTCATTGCCATAGCAAAGAGAAATTACTATTCACTTTAAATTAGCAAAACAAGAACTGAGAGATGGACAGCTAGCTAGCACAATAAAAAACAGAAAACGGTGATGGCTATCACACTTAGAAGGACACCACAAGGGAGCCTCACTTTAGTGCATCTTGCTCACTTAAGAGAAATTTGCTCCTCAGTGGTGCGACGGCTCCTGTATTCTAGATCTAGGGTTTCGTTGTGTAATATTTTATCGGCTTTTGTTGTTTTATGGTTTGTATCTATGAGCTTGCTTTATTTTTTGGTGTTGGACTGCATTTGAATTGAGTTTTTTCTCATTTTGTAATGTTTCCCATTATTAATGAATAGAGTTTCCTTGACCCAAAACATAAAGATCGCAGCAAGCTGAAAAGAACCTTGAAAACCACTGGGAAAAGAACCTGAAATTTACAAAATCAGTTGTGATACCTTGTTGGCCTTACAGTTATACTATGAAGTATACTGTCTCTGATCAGGAGGATACAAACACCCTGATGTAGCATGGTAGGTTTGATTGTTTAAAGCGAATATATTGCTTTTGAAGAGAACATACACCTACATTTGGAGTTAAAGAGCAATTGAGCCTTCCATGAAGGAAATTAACCTCTCTCAACCAACAAGAACGTGAGAATTGAATGTCACTGAGTCCTTTTTTTTAATTTAATCATTTCATAAATAAAATGTTGTTTGCTTTGATAAATGTCATTGAAGTCAAACGGCTAGAGGTCGTTAACATTAAGGCCTCACTAAATTATGTTGTGTATCTATTAATAGGGCGTTAGTTGAATTGGTCTAAATATTCAGTGTGCTCTCAAGTGGTCCTGAGTTCAAGCTCTCATAATATCTGTGTTTATCAATTTTTCTCTCCCTTCCTTTCTAACTTTGACCACATGAAAAAACCTTGGTGTGTATGCCTTCGCTTATTTATGCAAGGCACGCAACTAAAAAAGCACAAGAAAATTAATTGAGAGAACATAAGTAGCGTGAGAGATAAAATGAGTGTTAAAATTAAGGTTAAATTACCATAATACCTTTGGTTTTTAAAAATATATACATTATAATCCTCTTTACTTAATAACGATAATTCTCTTAGGACAATGCTTGGCTCGCTTGGCTCCTGATATAATAATAGTAAAGACAGATGTTCGTACTTTTTAAACATTTGATAGGCCTTCAATCCCTAACAAACAATCATTATCATTAACATTGATATGTCCTTAAGTTATTAAGGTAAGGAAATTTTTTGGTATGATCGTAAAAATGCTACAATATTATTAAATCACGTGTTATAATATCAGTAAATCACGTGTTAATATTATATGACACGCATGTCTAATTTTGAAAAATTTAGTTCTAACATGTGTTTTGAACACTTTATATATGTGATATATTTGTGTTTTCTATCTCGGCCCATAATTTTACAATTTTAGCTCCACCCGGCATGATGATATAGGTCCCAAAGACGAAATGATAATAGGTCGTCTTTCTCTAGCTACTTATTTTTATTATTTATGTGGAAATGGAATTTGTGGTGGAAAAAAAGTGAAAACTGGAAAAAGCGAAGTCCTGCATTATAATAACTGAATGATGATGAGCCCACACGGTTTTTTTTTGAAAGAATAAAAATCAGTTTAATTAGCAGACGAAAGCAAATAAATAATTAATTTGCAGAAACAGAATCTGACATATCTTTGCTAAGCCATTTTCGTCAGACCTTCCAAAAGCAGAATCAGCCACCACAACCCACGAGCAAGCAATCCCTTGTTGAAAAGACATCCATAACCCTAAAACCCTCCTCCAAAGCTCTAGCAAAAAATCCCAAATGATAGGTGCACCAATCAATGCATGTTCATAGATGGATCGGGATATTAGTCAACGAATTTGTGTTGACTTGCTTGATTAATCATGTTAAATAATTACATGCTAACTTAATTTGATTATTACTCACTGTAAGGATTTACCGGTTATATGGTTGCGAAATTCATCAAGTAGTTTATAGTATTTACTCTCGCACTCAAATTTCTTTGTTCTATTTTTTTATCTTCTCATTTCCTCAATATTGCTTGTATCAAAGGCAAAAACTTAAAACTCAGACCCAGGAAATTAAATTCCACTTAATTTTGAACGAGAGGAAATTCATATCACTAATCTTGTTATTCTACAAAGATAACTTGTATTCAACACTAATCCGACATTATAATTTATGTTAATCATAACATAATGGGGTTTTAGGCTCATGGTTCATCATAAACAAAACAGAAGCTGTACATTTTCCTTCTTGTTGATTTTGAATTTGGAAGATGGTCATTGAGTTCCAAAATTTTGAAAGTAAAATTTTCGTCCAAAACAAAAAGAAAGCAAAATTACAAGAATAACACTGGCATGAATTATGGAGAAAAAGGCGGTTTGCACAAACCAGAAGAAGCAGACAAAAACCCAACAAGGGGTGTGCTTGAATGCTTCACAGCTTTGATTGATAGGAGGAGGCAGGTTGCCAGGTGGCTTCTTGTTAACGTGATTTCTGCAAAACTTTCCTTCGTTCCCATTTCCCATCTTATCCTCTTCACTATAAATGTAAGCCCTCAAGCTCTGCTCTCCCTACCTCCCTCACCAAACACCTCTCACCACTCTCTTTACTTTTTTGGGGTGAAAATGGCAGCTGTGCTCTCTCTTCTGCTTGCATTCTCATTTATGTTCACTAATCCTGCTTATGCAGCTGTACATGTGCCTTTGGATGGTAAATCTCTCTCTCTCTCTCTCTCTCTCTCTCTCTCTCTCTCTCTCTCATCTAATCTTCCTCAGTTGAGTAGCTATGGTGAATATCTTATTCTGATCTGTTTACTGAGCTCTGTCTTAACTAATTTAAACTATTTTAGCATTTTGTTGAGCTATGACTGAATGATGATGAGCCCACACGGTTTTTTTTTGAAAGAATAAAAATCAGTTTAATTAGCAGACGAAAGCAAATAAATAATTAATTTGCAGAAACAGAATCTGACATATCTTTGCTAAGCCATTTTCGTCAGACCTTCCAAAAGCAGAATCAGCCACAACAACCCACGAGCAAGCAATCCCTTGCTGAAAAGACATCCATAACCCTAAAACCCTCCTCCAAAGCTCTTGCAAAAAATCCCAATGAGAGGTGCACCAATCAATGCATGTTCATAGGTGGATCGTATGTTGGACATTAGTCAACGAATTTGAGTTGACTTGTTTGATTAATCATGTTAAATAATTACATGCTAACTTAATTTGATTATTACTCACTGTAAGGATTTACCGGTTATATGGTTGCGAAATTCATCAAGTAGTTTATAGTATTTACTCTCGCACTCAAATTTCTTTGTTCTATTTTTTTATCTTCTCATTTCCTCAATATTGCTTGTATCAAAGGCAAAAACTTAAAACTCAGACCCAGGAAATTAAATTCCACTTAATTTTGAACGAGAGGAAATTCATATCACTAATCTTGTTATTCTACAAAGATAACTTGTATTCAACACTAATCCGACATTATAATTTATGTTAATCATAACATAATGGGGTTTTAGGCTCATGGTTCATCATAAACAAAACAGAACCTGTACATTTTCCTTCTTGTTGATTTTGAATTTGGAAGATGGTCATTGAGTTCCAAAATTTTGAAAGTAAAATTTTCGACCAAAACAAAAAGAAAGCAAAATTACAAGAATAACACTGGCATGAATTATGGAGAAAAAGGCGGTTTGCACAAACCAGAAGAAGCAGACAAAAACCCAACAAGGGGTGTGCTTGAATGCTTCACAGCTTTGATTGATAGGAGGAGGCAGGTTGCCAGGTGGCTTCTTGTTAACGTGATTTCTGCAAAACTTTCCTTCGTTCCCATATCCCATCTTATCCTCTTCACTATAAATGTAAGCCCTCAAGCTCTGCTCTCCCTACCTCCCTCACCAAACACCTCTCACCACTCTCTTTACTCTTTTGGGGTGAAAATGGCAGCTGTGCTCTCTCTTCTGCTTGCATTCTCATTTATGTTCACTAATCCTGCTTATGCAGCTGTACATGTGCCTTTGGATGGTAACTCTCTCTCTCTCTCTCTCTCTCTCTCTCTCTCTCTCCCCCCCTTTGGTCTTAGGCATGTAGTGTATGTAGGTAAAATTAAAAAAAAGGTACATTCTGATTCTGAGCTGATATGCTATACGAAAGTTGGGGTTTTTATATGTTGAGATACCCACAAAGATTTGTTGAACATTCTTCTTGTTTTTTGGTTGTTTACCCCAAAGTCAGTCACTTTCTTTTCAGTTATCATATCTTTGATCTGCTTATCTTCTTCAGGGCTCTTGAACAATGGCAACTTTGAAGAGCCACCAAAACCAACAAACCTCAAGAAAACAGTACTCATAGGCAAATATGCACTGCCCAAATGGGAAATCAATGGTTTCGTGGAGTACATCTCCGGCGGGCCGCAACCGGGTGGAATGTACTTTTCTGTGGCTCATGGTGTTCATGCTGTGAGGCTTGGCAATGAGGCCTCCATCTCTCAAACCATAAAGGTGAAAGCAGGGTCTCTGTATGCTCTAACATTTGGGGCATCAAGGACTTGTGCACAAGAAGAGGTTTTGAGGGTCTCAGTGCCTCCTCAGGCAGGGGACCTTCCTTTGCAGACTCTCTATAGCAGCAATGGAGGTGATACTTATGCTTGGGGTTTCAGAGCCACTTCCAATGTAGTTAAAGTGACTTTTCACAATCCTGGGGTTCAAGAGGACCCTGCTTGTGGTCCTCTCTTGGATGCAATTGCTATCAAGGAACTCTTCCCGGCACTACCCACTAGAGGTAATTATAAAAAAACTTATAACTGTGTTTATGCCATTCTCTGTATTAAGAACATATTTCTTCTAAATTTTGGATCAATCTGTATTGGGGGTTGTTCTTCTAAAACTTATAGAATCTCTGCTGGTTTTGCAAAAGTTTGTTGCTTGATTGTTATGTGGGTTATCTAGATCTGGGTTCCCCTGTCCTCTGTGATATCCAAGATGTGGTTTTTATTGATATGCATCCATATGAACAATGAGTTTGCCTTTCTGACCTTTTTTCTTCTTTTTTGGGTGAAGAACAATTGAGCTACACATTTAGCTAGCTAAATTGTATACCCTGTGTTCCCTGTTTTCTGAGGCCTATACGTTGGTTGAGAATTTGAGCATTCAATTTGATCTGAAACAAACTCAGTGCTATAAGCTTACTCTGTTTCCTGTTTTGGGTTTGTTTTGCTTATTAAAACATTGAGTTTCTTGCAGATAATTTGGTCAGAAATCCTGGGTTTGAGGAGGCTCCCCATAGGTTATTCAACTCTTCCCATGGTGTACTCCTCCCCCCAAAACAACTAGATGTAACATCCCCACTTCCTGGCTGGATCATCGAGTCCCTCAAAGCCGTAAAGTTCATCGACTCCCAACACTTCAATGTCCCATTTGGAAAAGGCGCCGTTGAGCTTGTTGCAGGGAGAGAAAGTGCCATAGCCCAGGTTCTTAGAACTGTGCCCAACAAGATCTACAATCTCTCATTCGTCGTTGGCGATGCAAGGAACGGCTGCCACGGTTCGATGATGGTTGAAGCATTTGCCGGTAAGGACACCTTAAAAGTTCCCTTCACCTCCCAAGGAAAAGGCGGGTTCAAGGCTGCTAGTCTCAAGTTCAAAGCAGCTTCACCCAGGACCAGAATTACATTCTACAGCTCTTTCTACCACACCAGGGTTGATGACTACGGATCTCTTTGTGGCCCTATCCTAGACCAAGTTAGGGTTTACCCTGTTGCTTAGATTCTAGTTTAGTTATATCATCACCATAAGACTACAATATCATTACTGAGATTGTGCCAAGGATATTATTCCTACTTTTTTGTAAATTTGACCGTTGATGAAGGTAGATGTTTACCTATTTTCGACTAGAGAGAGCTATGTACTTTTCAAATTTAAGAAAATTTGCCCATGCGAAGTACTGAATTTCACGAATATATGAAGTGAAGAATGAGTCAGGTCATTTTCTTTGGCAGCTTATGCTTAAAATAAGAAGCCTTCCTCTTGATCACATTGAGATATATCAAGGGTTTTTACTAAATTTGGATGTCTGATGATGTGAAAAATCATATTCCACAGCTTGTTAAGAACCCGTTGCCCTTACTAGTTTAGCTGCTAAACTGCTGAGCACGCTGTGATCATAAAAAAAATAAATGTCGAAATTTTTTAAGCTAGATTATGAGGAGAGAATTGAATCAGTGATATGCTGTGCCAAACCTGCTATTTAGCATTTAAAATCAAGAGCTTTGTTTAAACAACATAAATTACTATTTTGATTATTTCATAGCACAAACCAAGAGCCCTAAAGCATGAAAGAACATTTCTGATATGCTTATTATGAAAATAATAATATACAACAGAATCTGAATTTGACAACATGGTACAACAATGAATGAGAAAGTCTAGTTCTAACGTAAAAATGTATTATTTTCCGGTATGATAATATGATGTTCGCTTGATAAAATTTGAATTGAAAAATAAATTGCTGTACCAATCTGCCTGTATGATGAACTGGCCTAAAATTTCTAATGATTGGAATGTTGCCCTTCGCCATCGTCTAGAGTACCAACAAGACACTTCTCAAGTAAAAATTCTGCATTCACCCAAGCATGGTATTTATCTAGAGTAGTGTGATAAGGATTGCAAAAGTTAATAGCAATTCACAATACGCTAAGTAAAAAGGAAGATGGTCCAAAACACATTGCTGATTTGTATGCACTAGATTCGCTTAAGGTTCGGCCAGGCTTAGGAAAACTGTTTGGTTGTGTTTTTTCGCTGAATCGGATTTTAGGAATCCTAAACTCATTCCTTGGAATGAAGTGATTAGAAACCAACAGAATCCAACATTCCAAAGGTTATCAGGATACTAGCAGACTTTCAGTTTTTGAAAGCATAAATATATGGTATGGTCATCATTATAATTACAAGTAGATTTAGATCTTCTCTGTCTTGGTAATCCTTGGTTTCTAGCATAAGTCATTTATTTCCAAAGGTTACAAGGTATTTTGAAGTTTTATTATTGAACCCTAAACAAAGTTGGGGAACTTCATAAATGACTTATATAAGAAACCAAAGATTGCCAAGGATTGGATCCAAGTTCAAAGTCAAAACCAGGGAATGGCTTTAGGAGATACACCACTTCCCTTAGAAATGCAAAACCTTAACTTTGTGGGTCGTCCATGGAAAGGCCAAACCCAAAGTAATTTGCACTTAACAAAGGCATTCTTAGGGAGGACTAAATCCATTTCCTAGCCTTGATTCCAAGAAACAAATACAACCTTAAAGTATAACTGAGTTTTGGATATTAGTATTCAAAATTTCTTTGGTGAATAATAAAAGAAAAAATCTGCCTAATTCAACTCTTCCACTAGTAGTAACAAGTTTTATGGGCAATTGTTCTCAGAGAACAGATTTGCTCACCACCAATTAATGCTTGTGAGCAAATCTATTCTCTTGTTCTCACGGAGGGGTCTGACTGAAGAACAAAACAATAAAACCAAAGGTCCAGCAAGAAGTAACTAGGCCAAACATACTCAGGAAATCAGCATAACCAAGTAAATTTTAGAAAGGATACTGAATAAAGATGTACAGTCTTTTCCTACCGCCTTCTTTAGCATATCAACACCTGAAAAAAATAGTTTCGTTAGAAATAAGGAAAGTATGTCATGTAGTTCTTACCAACTAAGACATACAGAAACTCTTGTCAAAGTAAAATATTTATGCTTAGCAGCAGTAAGAACAAATGACCCCGTCACCAAGAAGTTTCTAGGGGATGGATACCAATTGCAATATTAAGGATGTAATCAATTGGTGGTAATGCATTTGCAAATGCTTAATAGAAAATGATTTTGTTAACAACAGACTGTTCATCAATTCAACTGTTTTGCCTTTCCATATTATCACTCTTCCTAGGTCATTAATGAGCTCAAAACAAGGGTATGCATCCATCAAGGAACTTAAACCAATAGCCCTCATCTTTTTATAGCTAGTCTTCATTAGAAGCAACAAAGAATGCCCAGATTTTTGGTATAGTACTCGTAAATGTCCCATCCTATTTATCTTATTTTGTCAGCTAAGTTGGCATACTGGAGCAAGGAAACTTCAATAAGAGTGATAGTAACCCGATAAAACATGCCTACGACAAATAAATACATTTAAAAAATTTGGGTCTCACGAAGAAAATGCAGGTAATAGCCTGCATTAGCAATACACACATTGAATGACAGAACTAAATCCAGTAAACATTTTAACTTGAACAGAATAAGATCATGTCCATACCTCCAGGGTGAAATCTCATGTAAGGAGACAAATTGTACACACGACCTTTTAGAACAGTCCACATTGAATCCCCTTTTTGGTGTTGTTTAACTTCATTTATTGAAATCAGCCTCTTATTTGACTGTCCCTTTAAACCTGAGACAGAACTCGTATATCAAGAAGCTAATAATATGCGAAACAATATGACTGCACTTAAAACAATATCAGAAATCACAAGTTGTTTCCTGAACTTATAATAATATGCGTCATAAATTCACGACGAAGAACCTATCTCAGATACATGTTACACACACACTGAAGTAGCTACATTCATTAGCTTCTTTAAGCAGTTCAAGGCAGGCACGCTAGGTAAATGAGAATCGCTAAAAAAACCCAGTACTTTCTAGCTGCAAGCAATGAAGATTTTGTCAACCAGAAGTCGGAAACCCTATGGATAATCCAGGAATAATATTGCCAGAATACATTGGTTTAGTCGGTATGAAAATGAAGATACATTGGACAATTGGGTCTGTTAGAGGTCATAGATCCACACACAAAGTAATACGTAGCTCCGAGGTTCGAGCAAGAGATGCACCTCGTCAAGCTCAAATTGAAAATAGGATATCATTAACAGTTTTGTGCTTTAAGAACACAATTAAATATTGCTAAACATTTTTTTTTTCCAAAAAGAACAAAACCTCGTCAAGCTCAAATTGAAAATAGGATATCATTAACAGTTTTGTGCTTTAAGAACACAATTAAATATTGCTAAACATTTTATTTTTTTCCAAAAAGAACAAATCGAAGAACCTATCTCAGATACATGTTACACACACACTGAAGTAGCTACATTCATTAGCTTCTTTAAGCAGTTCAAGGCAGGCCCACTAGGTAAATGAGAATCGCTAAAAAAACCCAGTACTTTCTAGCTGCAAGCAATGAAGATTTTGTCAACCAGAAGTCGGAAACCCTATGGATAATCCAGGAATAATATTACCAGAATACATTGGTTTAGTCGGTATGAAAATGAAGATACATTGGACAATTGGGTCTGTTAGAGGTCATAGATCCACACACAAAGTAATACGTAGCTCTGAGGTTCGAGCAAGAGATGCACCTCGTCAAGCTCAAATTGAAAATAGGATATCATTAACAGTTTTGTGCTTTAAGAACACAATTAAATATTGCTAAACATTTTTTTTTTTCAAAAAGAACAAAATAGGAACCTCAATAAACCCCTGAAGCTAGAATATTGCCCTCCCAATCCAACCCTTTTCATTTGGAAAAGTTTGAAGTAACTTTCCTTATATCTTTTGAGAATTGCCTTTAGGATTATCAAAAAGTACAAAGGCTTTAAGAAAGATAAGTCAAATTAGTCAGAGTTCGTGATAAGAGATGTAAAAGCTTACAACCAGAGAAGGAAAAAAACTCAGTAATTATGAATGCGCGATAGCTAAAAGAACACAAATGACAAGAAAAAAAAAACCAAAAGAATGATTGCTGGGAAGAAAAATGCAGTTATGAAATATGAGAAGCAATTTCAGCCAGAAGCACATGTCACTATGTACCTGCAAGGTCAGGATGTGTTCGAGTAAGCTTGAGCCAATCCATTTGGCTATACCCCTTCTCAAAAGGAACTTTGGCACGAGGTACAGGCTTCACTGACTTCCCAGCACCTCCTGACGATGGTTGTTTTGGTAATTCAGATTTTCGGTTCGTGGATGACGCATCAATAACACTGACAGAAAGAGAACCAACTGTTTCCTGCTTTTCAGAAGTGGCACCTAATGGCAATCCACTTTGCCACAGAAAACCTCTATTCTGATTACTATTAATGCCATTTGACAATCCGTCTTTTATGGCAATATTTTCTATATCTAAAGTGAGCTTCTTTGTCTCAAGACCATCCTGGTTGCCAGGCGAGCCAACCTAAAATATACCACAGACCTTACATTTAAATAAAATTATGACATGTATAAATTGGACCCAACCAACAATGAATCATAGTTCGGAAAAACAGTCCACTGTAAATGTTGCATTGAAACCAATGAGCATATTTTAGAGCTATAGCTTTCTTGATCTTGAATGAAATGTGCATAGAACAATTACCTGGCAAAAAGTGAAATCGTTATCATTATCCATCTGTAAGATGAATGAAGTTCCCACGCTATTTCAACCAAACTTTCCTGTCAAAAGATATTAGAAAACATCACCTTTTGACATCAAAACAATTATGAGATGACTTTTCTAAACAATTATTGTACCATTATTTGATAACCAACTTGAAATGATAAGCAATAAGACAGAATCCACGAAACTGGGACAATTGGAACATTGTTGCAGAGAGAGGAGTACATAAAGAAACGCAGATTGAATGAAACAATGATTTTCTAACACAAAACCTATTAGGACTCTTGAATACACACTGCCAATTTGTTGGGCTCCAACTCTGGTGTCTATGTTAATATCTATTCAAATTCTACATGAATAGATAATTATCACAACCAGTAAAGCAATAAGGACATGCTCAATTCTTCATTCAGAAATACTTGCCACTAAAAATCGTGAAAACAGAAAACAATATGAAAACATGTACCTAAACGAGTTTTAAAACTGTTTTCGGAAAACAAGCTTGGAAACAGAAAAGAACTGAATGGTATTCGTGAACCTGTTTTCAGTTGAAAACTTACAAAAATATTGAAAACAACTGATAAGAACTGTTTTCTACTACTTTTGAAAACCCAACTTAAATTTATATTGTTTTCTAAAACTCAGCCAAACAGGCCAAACGTGTCTTTCTCTCCCTCAAGAGGAAAAAAGATAAATTCATAATAAAACAAAAAATTCTCAGTAAAGCCTTTTCCTTTAGATATATTAATTGGTTTATTATGAAAAAGATCAGGACTCTTCTCTTGGCGTTTTGGAAAAGAGATGCTGGAGATATCTGGCCCAAACTCCTTTCTTCCCCATGAAACTCACAAAGCATAATCCTTATGACAAAAGTCCATGATTCATCTCAAGCTAAGGAACAATTCATCAAGCTTAAAGTCCATTGCACATCATCAAAACTTCAATTTAATTGAATAAAGAACAACTCTGCATGCCTAACTGTGAAAATCAAATTTTCAAAATAGCAATGTCATTTCAAGAACTAACCCATTAACTTCAATCCAATATCCAACTTGATTTCAAGCAAACAGCTGACTATTTGAATAAAGAACAACTCTGCATGCCTAACTGTGAAAATCAAATTTTCAAAATAGCAATGTCATTTCAAGAACTAACCCATTGACTTCAATCCAATATCCAACTTGATTTCAAGCAAACAGCTGACTACCCAATCCCCATAATTTTGAACCCAAGTTCATATACATTCAAATTCAATTTCAAGAAAACAATTCGCTGCTGCCAACTATGAATCCAATTTTAAGATCCCATCTAACATCGAGAAACTTTGAAATTTTATTTTCTTTGCGGTTTCATTGAACTTTCTCGGCCACCAAACAGAGAGCCAGTAATAATTTAAGTAGATGAGAGATGGGAAAAACAAAAACACAGTAGAAATTCGGTTGATGGGTACCTGCTTTCCCTCCTTTCAGTATGCGATCGTCTTCGACACCACCCAATTAGTTGATAGGCTTTTCATTCATTTCGTTTATTTACTTATTCGTTTATTTTATAAACATACTTTTATTATTTAATTTCAGCATTTTCAGTCGTCTAGACTAGAGCTATTCAAATCCAAAATAAACTCTCTTTTCAATATATTCTTTTTTTGGGTCAAACGTTGAAAATAATTTAAGAAACGAGAAATCTAAGAAAGGATAAACCACGTCAGCATGAGTAAAGAAATAAAGAATATTTTATTTCACACGTGTTTTTTTGGAAAGAAGGGTATTGGCCAAGTAGAATATTTCATAGGTTAGGTAGGGAATTCAAACTTAATTTCTAAGAGCATCTACTAATAGAAACTAGATTATGGTGATTCTTGTGAAATTGTTTGGCTTGCCACATTATGTACAAGTCTGCTTAAGAATTGGAGATTTTAGAGCATCCCCAATGAAATTAGTACATGGCGCAGCAATGTTGATTTGATATGCCACAGAGAACAAAAGCCCCTCAAATGGAAGTAGCAAATTTAAAACGTAGTAATTTCAATATAGGGTTATTTACTCAAATGGTCTTCAAACTTATACACACGTTGTATTTTGATCACTCAATTAAATTATTCGTTTAAATGATTCACCAACTCTTTATTATTTGGTAGATTGGTCCACCGTTATATTTTTTATGAGTTTTAATCATGTGAATTGCACGTGAGGGAAATAGGAAGGGTAAATGCGACTTTTTCATAGTGGAGTTTTCGTTTCCCGTTTTCTTCTTCTTCTTCTTCTTCTTCTTCCCTCCCTATACAACCAAATGACAACGGCGTCAAAAGACAACCAGTCGGCGCGAGAGAGATGACAGCGACAACGGCTTCATTTAGACATGACTTCTCTGACTTCGATGGCCACGGTGGCAGCAAGCGTTGAGCACCACGACAAGTTACAATGGTGGAGTCGGCTTGTTGCACTGCTAAATCATAAGAAATAGGAGCAGAGGATTGAGGGAGAAGGCACATGGGTGCCTTGATCAATTTATGGTATTGGATTCCTCTCGCTGGAGTTGCAAAAAAGAAAAAAGTAAAAAGTAATTTCTCTTTTGTTGCTCTGTAGGATAGATGTGGGATGAGATGAAGGGGATATTTCTTTTTTTTTATTATTTATCACTTGTTTTTTTATATGTTCTTCATTAAGAGAATGAAGAAATTTATATTTTCTCCATGATGAGAAAAAGAAAAGAAGGCAGAGCCATCATCACCACCAGCCCTAACCCACACCCACTGCCCACCCCCTATGCGTCCTCCCCTATCTATGTTTTAATTAATTAATTAATATTTTAGTATAAATTGACGATTTTAACCCTCAAATTAACGGCAATATTGATGGAGTGTAATAGTATGACCAACGCGCCGATTAATAAAAAGTTGGTGGACTATTTGAACGAATAATTTAGTTGATGGACCAAAATGCAACTTGGGTATTAGTTTGAGAACCATTTAAGTAAATAACCCTTTAAATATAACCTTTTTTTTTTTTTTTTGTCATTTGCTAGGGAGGGAGAGGGGAGTATTATATTGGGTTACCTCAAGATTGTCTCTTACATGAATGGAACCCAGGTGCTCTTGAGGGGGGAGGGAGAGAGTTTGGCCCACTTTTCCACTATGGTGTCATGTCATGTGCACATGTGAGTTACCTATAGCAAATTAAGTCCCACAACATATTTTAATCAAAAGTATTGTCTATTTATTCATCCTAACATATTTGAAGGATGGGTTGAAGGGTGCATTGGAGGGACAAAGTTTTAGGCAACATCTATTGCGCCCAAATTTTAAAAAAAATTGGTTACCAGTTATACAAGTTGTCAAGTTTTCACTTTTTGTTAATATTTAACGCAAATGCAATTGCACAAGGGTCATGCAATTATGTCCTTCATGTTTGGCAATTGGCATATGATTTGACATGTTATTTTTCAATTGAGTTTATTCTATTTGATTCACGAGGACATGCTTATGAATTTCGCAATGGCATTTGTTTACTTTTATAAATCTAAAGTTACAATTTTAGACTCTTTTTTTTCTTCTGATTTCGATATGTCACCTCATTGTAGCTTTACTCAAGTTCATTATGAGTTGCTGGTTTTATTTATATGAATTATGATGGCTAGTTGTGGTTAATTCCTTCATATTTTATGCCTAGTTTTTAAAAATCAATTGAGATTGATAGTTTTGATTTTTTTGTTTCTTTTGTTTCATAGAATTCGTGAATGCGCATCAACTTTGAGAGCTTGAAAGTCTTTATCCATCAAAAAATTTCACCTCGAGTTTTGTCTATGTAATTGGTTGAAATTAATTTCTAAAATAAGAACTATATTAATTGTTGAACTCTATGTTACATGGTTGTACCTTTGTGGACATCCACGAAGTATTATAAATTTATATTCTTTTCCTAACATGGCCATGGATTTTATAGTACATTGTTAAGATTAAAAGGCAAGAAAAACAAGTATAAAAGTATAAAGTTTACAAGTTTTCTCGTAGATTACAAGATTTTCAGTTGTGTTTACAAGGATAATGACATAATTTTACTCCTCCAAAGTCCATTCTTACCTTGGGACTATGTGTCATTTTCTTTGTAAATTAGGGTATTATAGTGTTATGGATTAGGGTGGACCATAATGTTGTTATAATTATTTCAATTATTTCACAACACTTGCAGATTTTTTTCATGATTCATGAGTTAGGGGTTGCTTTATATAACTTGTAACCAAAAACATTAAAACTTGGGTAACTTTATATAAATCCAATTAGCCAAACTGAAATTGTTTTTTTTTAACTGGTAACCAAAAACAATTTTTGAACATCTAAACTATTCTTTTTGTTTTGTTATTTCTTAAATGTGAATAAATTATTATAAGGAACTAAAATATGACTACATAGTATAACTCGTTTACGTGTTTAATATCAATGATAAGATATTCAACTTTTAAGACATAATATCAATAAATATCCACTTATATTATAATAAATATGACCATACTCTGAAACCACACTATAATTACTTCTCAAGATGACATATTATTATATAAAAATATATATGTATTCGTTCTTATTCTAAAAATAACTTTAAACAAAAGATGACTCAGAGCATCTTCCAACAAAAATTTCCCTTATGATCCTTCTCTGTTTTTTGGTTCATATCTTTGTAATATAATTGGTTCATGTTCCGATCAATAAAAAAAATGTTAAATAAGAATATATAATAATATAATACTTAAATAATATATATATATATTGCACTTTATAATCACTATATAATACATAATATGATATTTGCATATAATATATACAATTTCAACTACAATACTCGAAATTTTATATAAGTATGTAACATAACAAAATACTAAATGAGGTAATGAAGGGGAAGAAAGTGATTGAGTTACCATCTCATTCGCTTCTCATGTACGAAATTTTAGAATTCAAGCTAATTCTAAAATAATTTGAGAGAAATGTCTTAAAACTAAAACTATATATTATTTCTTGAATATGACTCATAGCATATTCAAAATATGCTTTTACAAACTTATTTCTATGCCTAAACAAATAATTTAATACATTGTCATCCTCATATTCATGTTCCTACAAAAATTTCCCTTACGATCCTCCTCTCATTTTTGGTTCATATCCTTGTTATATAGGTTTCCCCTTTTCCATCCATAAAAAAATTGTTTAATAAGAATATCCACTCATAAATATAATATGTAATGTATAATTTCAACTAAAATACTAATTTTTTTATATATGTATTGTAACATAATAAAATACTAAATGAGGTAACGAAGGAGAAGAAAGTTACCAATTCCCTAGCTTCTCATGTAAATCCCCATTTTATAAGGACATAGATTAACATTACAAGGATTTGGTATGTCTGGACCTTAAGGATATAAAATGGGATCCTTATTCTAGTAAACACGATGATTTACAAGACTAAGGACCGGTATTACAATAGTTTGGATATGAGAGTACCATAACATTGTAAGAGGATCACAAAATTTATAACTTACAAGATTTGGGTAGCGATTTACAAGTTTTTGAACCAGGATTACAACATTAGGGTTCACCTAATCCATAATGTTGTAATCCCCATTTACCAGGATATGGATCCACATTACAAGGAATTGATAACTCTGGACCATGAGGATGTAAATTGGGTCCTTATTCTAGTAAAATGAGGGTTTACAAGATTAAGGGCTAATTTTACAATTTTGGGATATGAGGGTACCATAACGTTGTAAGGATGATCCATAAACATGTAAGTTACACGATTTGGGTAGTGATCTACAGGTTTTTGAACCACAATTACAACATTAAGGTTCTCATAATCTTTAATGTTGTAAATCCTTATTTTACAAGTATATGGATCCACATTACAATGAATTAGTAAGTGCGGACCATAAGGATGTAAATTAGGTCTTTATTCTAGTAAAATGAGGGTTTACAAGATTAATGGCCGATTTTACAATTTTGGGATGCAAGGGTACCACAACATTGTAAAGAGAATCCATAAACATGTAGGTTACACGATTTGGGTAGTGATTTAAAGGTTTTTGCACAACGATTACAACATTAGGGTTCTCATAATCCTTAATGTTGTAAATCCTTATTTTACATGGATATGGATCCACATTACAAAGAAATCGGTAAGTCTAAACCATGAGGATGTAAATTGGGGGTCCTTATTCTAGTAAAATGAGGGTTTACAAGATTAAGGGCCGATTTTACAATTTTGGGATACGAGGGTACCAAAACGTTGTAAAATGGATCCATAAACATGTAAGTTACACAATTTAGGTAGTGATTTACAAGTTTTTGCACCACGATTACAACATTAGAGTTCTCATAATCCTTAATGTTATAAATCCTTATTTTACAAGGATGTAGATCCATATTATAAAGAATGGGTAAGTCCGGACCATGATTGTAAGACCCGTGTCTTGGGGAAACAAGAACGGTGAGCAATCCCACATCGCTCGGGGAGGGAAAGGTAAAGTGCTTTAAATGTGTGGGCACTTCTCTTCCTAGCACGAGGCCTTTTGGGAGCTCACTGGCTTCGGATTCTTAGGAACTCTGAAGTTAAGCGAGTTGGGGGCTAGAGCAATCCCAGGATGGGTGACCCACTGGGAAGTTGCTCATGAGCTCCCAGAAACAAAACCGTGAGGGCAGAGAGGGGGGCCCAAAGCGGACAATATCGTGCTAGGGGAGTCGGGTCGTGACAATGATGATGTAAATTAGGTCCTTATTTTAGTAAAATGAGGGTTCACAAGATTAAGGGTTGATTTTACAATTTTGGGATACAATGGTACCATAACGTTGTAAAGATGATCCATAAACATGTACATTACAAGATTTGGTTGCAAGTTACAATTTATGGACCGGGATTACAAAGTTTGGGTTTATCCAATCCATAATGTTGTAAATCTTCATTTTACAAGGATATGGATCCACATTACAATGAATTGATAAGGTTGGGCTTTTGTTATGTAAAAAATAGCCCTTATTCTAGTAAACAAAAAGTTTACAAGAGTTAGGGTCGATGTTACAATGTTTTGGATATAATAATAACATAATGTAATGTCGTAAACAGGATCCCTAAACTTGTAAGTTATAAGATTGTACTTAAAATGCAATTGCATATTGGTATACAATAGGATGCTCCCTAGTTGTCAATTACGTGCTCCCTGTTTGTCAATTACTCAAACTGCCTTGAATATTGGTAATACTAACTAGAAGTAGTTACTTAAAATGAAAATGCTTAAATGATTAAACATAAATATATTTTGCCCATTCATGGTATGGTGTGTGGTAATACATGAAGGATTCTGAATTGGACAATGAAAGCAACAAACAAACAATGTGAATTGGACAAACAAATTGGAATGGTAATTACGTGTTGTCTGTCGATTGCTAACTTGACGAGTCTGAGTGAAAGCAAAATAGGCAATTTATGGGTATCAATTTGGCAATTGATAGTGTTCACCCGTTTTGATTTATTTCCTGAGATGACAGGGCAAAGTTCCCCATTAATTCAAAGACCATGTTTTGGTCAGTGAATTAACTTTCTTTATGTGTTGAGCGTGCCACTGTTAGCAATTTTTCAACCCTAACAGACTTATGGTAAAAATAACTTGCGCCCCAAGCTACTAACTTTGACCAAACGATTGTGAATTTGGGTGAGGAATATCTCCCAAGTAAGTTCTTTTCTATGCCTTAGACTGGTAAGGACTTTTACAATTTTTCTCAGTACGAAAACCGGTAGTTCTGACCAGAATGAAAGATGACAAATTGAACCAATTTCAGGCAGAACTCCCTTTTACAAGACTCAAAAAGGGGAAAACTAACTATACAAGGACAAGAAGAGTGTTGTGCTTCCATTTCTGTCTGGATAGTTGCCTCTGTTCTGGGCTGGACTGGGTACGCCTGTGCTGGACTGGACTTTTAACAACTTCAACTG